TGCTGCGAAGATGCCCAGCGTGCGAATGTTTAGAACCCACCAGAGGCTCACGTCTCAGGCAGCTCCAAAGCCAGGTAAATTGATTAAACTGCCGTAAATAATCTTGCATTTTGAAACGTGAAGATAGCTTGAACAGTTTGAGGCCGGTTTTGGAAAAGGGCTTATGCAGAAGGTCTTTGTGTTTATTATGAGTACTTTGGATCCAAATAGTTTTTATGGGCAGGGAGTCAGAGCTCCTGTTGACACTTATTTGGTTTGAGGGAAGTATTTAAACAAATGCTTCTCTTAGTTAAAAGCCTGAGTTCCCTATGGGTTGTGGTAGTGCACCTCTTTGTATGCATGCAAGGGAGACTACAGCCCTCACAAAGCAAGCAAGCATGACTATAGGTAGATGTAATTATCTCATTTGAGAAATTTCCTAAGTTTGTACAGGAAACTTTGTTTTATTGCCTTGAAGAAATTCTGATTGGTACCTTCTCACGTAGGGCTTGTTGGTATCTTTGCATTAATTATATTTTAGTGCAGATAATGGACAAATTCAGGTACTTTCAGGGAAGAAAGGAGGGGGAATGAGGGCATCCTTGGTGACTGGTGTATGAAAATAAGAACTGACTTTTTTTTTTTGTTGTTCTTTACCCTATACTGTGCATAGCCTGACAGCTACAAAACTGGAGAATACATAAAATGGGTTTATTGTTCTTTCTACCCAGTATCCTGCATGGGTCATGAAGCAATTTAGAGACCCTGCTTCAGTGCAGATCTAGGGTCTTCTCAGTCTGTGATAGATTAACGTAGAGAGCTTGACTGACTGCACACAGTGTTGATTTCTTCCAAACATACACAGTAGGTAACTGCATTAGACATTTCAGAGTATTAGAGAAGTGCTGCTGTTTGTGAACAGAGGTGTGTCTGGTTGTGAAAACACAGGGCATAGGGTTAGACTGTGTAACTCTGAGAATTTGCTGCATGGAATTTCTGGCAGTACTCACGGTGGCTGCTGCATTTTGGGGTCCTTTCCAATTGCTGACCCAATGTTTTGGAGCTTCTGAAGAAGCGTGATGAGAGGAAGAGTTTCTTTACTTTTGAGGGCTCATGATGATTTGTATCACATGGCTTTTTACTGTAGCTGCATGGTGAAACCTGAATTTTGTTGCTCTGACAGGTTTGTGATGCTCCTTTTTTCTTTCTCCCACATTAATTACCTGAGTGAAAGAGACACGTGCCTATCTTGATATAGCAAATTGTCCCTTGGTTGGGTGTGTTAGCCTGGGACATAGGAAACTAGGTTCAAAGTTCTTTCTCAAATGTCCCAGGTAAGTGCCCTTGTTTGAATTTGGACTCAGCCTTGGTATTTGACCTTGACCACAAATTTAATCATGAAACTGAAAGAGCTTTTCAGTCTTACTGAAATCAGCATGCTTATCTGTGTGTGTGCATTTTCTTGGTTTTATGAATCAGTTTTCAGAATTTTTTTCACTAGGATGGAGAATTCTGATGAGTGTTGTGTGTTTAAGCATCCATTGCTGTGTCTTTGGTCCTGTCATGTGAAAGCTGTTAAATTTAAGGGTGAATAGTATTCATGCAACACAGTTATTGAATGCTGAGAATTATATAAGCTGGGTAAGTCTTTTGGTTGATAGTTAAGCCGTTCTTATAGTTCATTTTGGTAACATGAGATTTGTCATTCAGTAGAGGACAAAGTAAGGATAAAACAGTCATTGAATATCAAATTAGTAGCAGTACTGTTGCCTGTGCATACTTTTTAAGTGGTCTTGAATCAAACTTAACAGCATGTAAAGTAACTGCTTTTTTTTCTTACTTTTAGATATTATCTTTTATTACAGTGACACTTAAAATCACTGTAATGCTAAGAAGAGAGTATGTTTTCTGCGAAGAGTAGTGTCACAGTAATTCTCCCTAGATCTGTAGTTATTACTTCCATTCTCTCTGATTAGCTTGCGTTTAGTCCAGGATATGTTGTGTACCAGAATAACAGCTGCTTGAGAAGTGAAGAGATTTGGAGTCAGTTGAAAAGTAAGCTTGGAGGATGGATACTTATTTTACTGCTACTTATTTTGCTGCCATTTTCTTTGTTTCTTAGAAACATGGGAATTTTCAAACAGGAGTAAACAAGTATTCCTCTAACCTGTCTCAAACAGTGTCTAGCACCAGATGTTTCAGAAAGAGAACGAAGCCTTGGGAAAATGCTTATGGAGTGGCCAACTCTGAGGTTTCCATTATACTTCCCCATTGGTTTGTCCTACAGCTTTGTGACTCTTACCCCTCTCAGCATTTTTAATGTCCTTTTATTTTGATGCTTCTTTCTTAAATTTCCTGTGTTTTTTTTTTCTTCCCTAAATCTTGCAGAACTTTTAAAACTGTAGCAATTTACTGTCAACGAATTTTCTAGATAATCTGAACACTATTTATAAACCATATACGTCCTTTTTTAATTTTCTTGGGTTTTTTATGTCCTTGCTTGTGTAAGAAGAGGGGTCAGGTGTTGGTTTAATGTTCTGTACCGTTCTTTTTTTTTTCTTTTTGCCAACATCATATTGCTGTTCTTCGGAATATGTCCTCATCTTCAGAACAGGTGAGATGATTTGTTTAAAGCTGGTATGAGAGTAACTTAGAAATTAGGCAGGTCATGTATCCTGTGTTCCCATCCCAGACCATGTGCTGTACAGTTAGTACTTATCCTTTCTCTAAGACAGTCTCTAATATTTGTTGATAGCTTTGGACTACAGACTACTTCCTGATGGCAGGTTAAGGAGATAAAAACGTGTATTTTTTGTTTATTTATTTACATACAATGTTGTGAGTTTTCTTGATAGTTTCAACGTAGGATCTTCCTTAAATGTTCAGTTTGTAGATGAAGTTAAATGGAGAAAATTGCTTTTATAGTTATTTTTATTTTCAATTTCTGAAGCTTGGAGATGTAGCTACTTATTTTTAACTTGAAATTTTAATATGTTCTCATTACGCAGTCAGAATAACATTAAGGGAATGAGCTTCCTGCTAGTGGCTTCCTACTAGTTCTGCTAAATTCTAATTTATGTATATTCCATACCAAGGTTCTAAGGCCTCGGAAATGTAGGGTTTCTACTTTTGTTAGCAAGGGAATCCTTTTGGTGTTGGTTCTTTATACAAAAAAAACGTCCTGTCTATCTCCTCTTCAGTGAACAATATGTTCAGAATCTTCATGTGAATCAGGTACTGAAGGCATGGTATCTTGGTCTGCTTTTGAAAAATTTTCTAGTATAGGACATGAAGGCTTAGAAAGGCAACTTGGAAGCTTCACACCCTCATGCAGTTTTAAACCCGTGGCAAGGATCAAGAATGTGTTTCCTCAAAATAAAACCTAAATCAAGATTTAGGTTTAGATTTACTCAGTTTGTAATTCTAGGTTTAAACCTTTCAAAACTAATGACTTTGATGAAATTACTGAGTTAACAAACCAAATCTGTGTTCTTAGTATAGCTTCTGTCAACCATAGTGTTTATCATACCCTGTCTTCTGCTTGCAGTTACAGACATCTGCTTCATTGTGGGGCTGAATTATGTGATAGCTCAGGATAGTTTGCTTGAAAAATGTCCTGTACCTGTGCTGGCTAAAGGCTGGCAAACTGGCATCTGTTTGCCTCTGCATTGATTTGCTTCTGTAGTCACTGATGGCTAGAAATTTGGTAGTGGGACAGAGGAATAAAAAAAGGTGAGAGGCAAGTGAGGCTTGTTGAATGTTTATCTTTCATTTGATCTTCCAAAGCATTGGAAGAGGGCATAGTCCTCAGTATTGGTCTCTGATCATTCTGCTCATGAAGTAAGATGCAAATACTTTCCACCTGAAAAAGTTTTACCTATTTTTATTGCATGCAAGGGGTAACAATGTGAAAGAAAGAAATGAGAAAGCTCATGTCGTATGTGATGAGTGTGTATTCCTGTCCCAGCCTTCCTATAAATCTACTCTTCTACTCTGGTACCCCACACAACAGCAAGTAAATAAAAGAAATTGGAGACATCAATAGTCTTATGGGCCTTAGGAGCTGAAAAAAGAAAAAAAAAAAATTTGCTTCAGGAACAAACTTCTACCTTCTAGGTTTTATTTTTGCTTCTAAAAGGCACGAGAACTCATTTCCACTGAGTCGATTTAGAGGAAATCAGCAGGACTTTATTAGGTACTAATTAGGAGAAGAAACAAGGAGGAAGTTCTCTTCGAATGATAAGGGTAATTTGTACAAGTGACAGCAACAGTTAATGTGGCTTTGAAGTGTGTAGTGCTAGGAATGCCCTCAGTTGCCCAGAGATGCTTTGATGTGGGGTGTGCTAGTGAAGCAGATCTTTGTAAAGCATCGTTATCTGTGTGGGTCTGTTGTTTTAGATGGGCACTCTCCTGTTGTGACACTGTGTTCCTTTAAAGCATGTTTTTAGGAATTTAATTTTTGTTTTGTAATCTAAAGAACTTTAAATGTTCTCCAAAGTATAAAATATTGAAACACGTGTTTCTGCAAATTATTTGTTACCATTTGATTAATTTCAAAGAGAGACCTAAAGTAAAATATAATTAGAAGTAATGCACTAATTTGTCTGCTGATCTTTCATGCTGTCTTGTTGACTGTGTTCAATCAGTTTTTTTTTAATGGATTAGAAGACCAACAAGTACAGGTAGATATTTAAGTACGAATTCTCAGCAGCTCTGCTGTATATTCAGAACATTGTAAGTTGATAGTTTCATTTCATGAACATTGTCAGATGTTCAACTTAAAGCACTTTATAGTCTGTGTTTTATTTTGTAGGTAGATTTAAGTTTAAACATATAAAAATAATTCAGTTCCTGAAAACTCTTGTAGCGTGGTATGTTTGGCTTTGTTGTGCTTGTTTCTATCTTAAAAAAATGAACATGAAAAAAGTGGAAAGGAAGGCTTCCTGAAGTGTACAACATGTCTGGTACAATTTTTATAGCACAATACATAATATTGGTGGCCAAATTAAAAGATTTGCAATTTAAAACAAGCCTTTCACTCCACTCCTCTTTTTTTTTTTTTCCTTTTTGTTGCTTGATCTTTAGCATGAGTGACTGCTTAGACTGCTCAAATTGTATTTAATTTCTGTATATATGGTGTAGGTGTCTTGTGTATAAGTGTCACAATCCAGGTTTAAATTCTGTCTGGACGTTAGTGAAAGCTGGTGCAGAACTGGGCCTGTGTCCTGGGCTGGGTGCTGTCTAGTGTAATTGGAGCAATGTGGTTGTTTGATACAGAGTTCTTCTGCTTAAGTCTGCATATTTATAAATTTTTTTAAAACGTGTTTGGATCAGAGAAATATAACTTTTGGATACTAGGCTGGAAGCCTGCAAATGGTATGTGAACAAAGTTATGTGTTTGCAATTTGAAACCTTATGCTAAAGCTGATAAATTGCTACTTCAGCAGTTTCCTGGTGCTTTTTAGTGGAGCTTGAACAAGTTAAGACAAGTAGATAACATTTAAGAGAAGTATAATTGAACAAACTAGTAGATAGATATTCCATTGTTCTTCAGTTACTTCTGAATCCTCTTTTTTTTTGTTTCTTTAGCAACCCTTGGAGTACTTTGTCCTCGTAGGTGTGCTTTTTCAATGTACTTTATGGAATGTAAGTTACATTCGTTAATAGTGACCTGAGAGAATGGCAATATGATAGAGATTAAGAACATTTTCATTCAGAATGCAGTTCAGCTGTGCAAGCCCATTTGTCTATTTCTTCACACTAGAATTGAAGTGACTAGGGAGATATTTGAGTTGCTCTTTACCCCAGGTAGATTGTGTTATTACCAGAACACTGTGTATTGTGCAAATCAGAATGCCAGTTAAGCAGTCAGAACTGTATAAATTCGGATGGGTATTAACTGCACTGAACACTTGTTACTGCTTGTGTGGCTGACTGTGCTGACCTCCTGATCCCTGAGAGAACAGGGATCTCTGGTGAGGTGGTGTAATTTAAGGAAATGTAAACTATGTTTCTAGAAAATACTGTTCTGTGTCCTCTTCCCTTAGGAGGGAGAATTGCAAAGTATGACATGTCTGTGTGTGCCTGTACAACACTGAAGTGTGCCATTAATACCAGCCCATTAATCTTTGGTGCAACTAATGCTGTCCTATCTGCCACTCTTACAGGAATTCCTTATAAACAGCTGACTGTAGGTGTCCCAAAGGAGATATTTGAGAATGAGAAAAGAGTGGCTCTATCACCGGCTGGAGTTCAAGCCTTGGTTAAACAAGGCTTCAATGTTGTGGTGGAATCTGGTGCTGGAGAAGCTTCCAAGTTTTCTGATGACCATTACAGAGAAGTTGGAGCGAAGATCCAGGGGACCAAGGAAGTTCTGGCTTCTGATTTGGTTGTCAAAGTAATTACTTTGTTAATATATTTCCTATTAAATTCTCTTTGGTGAGACATATTGGTCAATTTTTCTAACAGCCTGCTGAAAGTTCAGTAAGTCAGCTCCTTCAAATTAATTTTTTCCATTCTAAATACTGATTCAGTTTTAGTGTCTTTTTTTTTATAGCTCAGGTGTGCATCCATAGTAATAGATGAGTAAATGGCAGCACTGAAAAAAAATTAAGGGTCATTTCTTATCAGGTATTTAATTACCTTGGTGGAATTGTGCTATTCTAGTACTTGAGGTTGTTCTGGACTCTAATCAGATGAGATCCCTGCTCTAAGAAACTTTCTCTCCAAAGTTTGTAACGTACAGCTCAAGTTATTCTTTAGAGAGAGTTGCTTGGAGTTTAGAAAATGGAAGTTTCTAACTTTCCTTAATCAGGCATCCAACAATTCCTCAGCAAGAGTGTATTAAATGTGGCTGATCTGGGAGGACTGCTAAAGTGAAGCTGCTTGAGAAGGGATAGCTTGGGCAGAGGCCTGAAGGAAAAAAGAAGATCACCTTAAATGTGACATTGAGGCTGCCTTTAACTCCCCTATTTGAAGTTATCCTGTGAGGATTGAACATAGAATTTTTGTGAACAACCCTTTTAAGTAGGTCTCTTCTTGAAGAAAAGTGAGAAACTCAAAAGAGGTGAATAAAGGTCACAATGAGTATCTCCTGGACTTCATGCTTGAAATTCCCTGTATGTAAAGGTACATTGCTACCTAATTAGTGATTCTCAGCCTGTAGACCTTAATCAGCACATCTGTTCAGCAATCATTTTGTTTAAAAGTGGTATGTTTGGGGGTGGCAGACTGACATAAAATTCAGTAACTGCTGGTTAGAAGCCATCGCGTCTTTCTGAAGGTGTGTGCTGACTTTTACATGCCTGTCACCATTCTGCTGAGAGCTAATTCTGATATGTGGGCTCCAGCTAAGAAATGCAGTTACTCAGTTTTGTTGTGTGAACAGCCTTTGATACATTTTCTTACTTGTGTACTTTGTGGATGGGAATGGTCAGACTGCAAGCAGGAAGAAAGGAGGTGTGGCTTCTGACTTATTTCCTCTGATTAATTTGAAAACTTCTCTCTTTCCTCAGGTGAGGGCTCCTATATATAACTCAGCTCTAGGTGTACATGAAGCAGATCTTTTTAAGACAGCGGCTACCCTTATTAGTTTTATCTACCCAGCACAAAATCCAGACCTCCTGAAAAAACTTGCAGAAAAAAAGACTACTGTCTTGGCTATGGATCAGGTTCCACGAGTCACCATTGCTCAGGGATATGACGCACTTAGCTCCATGGCCAACATTGCTGGGTATGGATTTTACTTTTTTTTTTCTTCCCGCGGCTTGAGTAAGTAGAGCTGGATTAAAAGCTCTGTGATTTCATATTAGGTGCATGTAAAACAATTCTGCATCTCTGTTTGCATACAGCTGTTTTAAGCAGGATGACACTGTAAGAGGTGCCAAACAAGTTTCTTACAGTTAGCTTTGTCCATGATCAGAGCAAATAAACAACTAACTAAACGAAACTGAGGGCAGTTCTAATTCTGGACTCATTTGCCTAGTGCCTTTTTGCTTTGACCTAGATTAGAGCAGACTCAAAGGTATCCTCAAGGCAGCTTGAGCACAGATTGTCTGTCAATGAGATCTGGTTGTTGGGAGCTAACTAGCCCAAACAGCGCTCACGATGAATGCAGTTGCCATGACAGATGTAAACAAAAGACCAAATACTCTCAGACATCTTTGTGCTTTGCAACTGGTATTGTACTGAATTAAAATGTTGTTGCCAAGTTGACTTTTATTATTAGGTTCTTTATTGCTTTTTAAGTTTTATTTTTACTTAGATTATGTAAGACATTGGCCTGTGGAGAAGGTTGCCAGATTTTGGTTGTACCAGCAGTATACATCTGCATACAATTGATTGCTTCTCTGTTTTCATTCTGTGGAATTTTACTAAATTGCAGACAATTTAATAAGGTATTTAAAGGTATAAAATGTACAGTCTGTATTCCAAATTAGAACTAATTTTACAGGATACAGACCTCTATATGTCCCTGCTGGAGAGAGAAGAGAGAGTGGAATGGGACTGTTGAACTGTAAAATTTTTAGTAAATATGTAAGAAAATGTGCAGTGTTGTTAAGAAGAGGCATATTCACACATTAATCATCAGTTTCAGACAGCTCTGCTGGTGTTAACAAGTAGCAAGGCTAGGCTGCTTGCTGTGCAGGGTGAGGGACAGTTTCTTTCTTGACAGTGTGTATGCTTGTGGAAGTGAACTTAGTGCAGAATTACTCTGGGTTTTGCAACTGCTTGTTCGTGTATCCTTCCCTAACAATCCACAGGTAACAGCCATTGTAGGTAGCCTCAAAGACTGTAAAGTTAACTTTTGGAGAATTAGGCATTTCGTTTTCAGGTAAAATTTTGAGTGAATAGTTCTGACTGTCCAATATATTGCAGTCTGGAAAAATTCTATCTGAAAACGCAGTCCATGATTTAAACAAAAAGGCAAGAAATACGAACAAAGACAGGCTAATAAACTTGTGCTCAGTAGTAAAATATTAAACTTGTTTTATCCTCGGCACGCTATGGTCAAATGTTCATCCTTTTGACTGCTATGATGAATGGAATTGTACCAAGCCTGTGAAAATACTGATATGTGTTTGTCCTTAATTAACAGTTACAAGGCTGTTGTACTGGCAGCAAATCACTTTGGTCGATTTTTCACGGGTCAAATCACAGCTGCTGGTAAAGTTCCTCCAGCAAAGGTATGTGCAGTTAAACAGATACTGTGGCATAAGAATGTGAGTTCCTGAGGACAGCTTATCACTGCTGAAACTGTGTTACAAGGCTTTTTTACTTCCTGGGGGCTAGTTCTAGAGACTTCAGAAATCCCTATAGTTGTTCCTGTACCAATTTTTTTTTCACTACCTGTAGTGCCATTTTTTTTAAGGAATAGTAGAATAATTTGAGTTTTATTTAAGTTTGCTTAGTTTTAAACATCAGACTAGCTATATGTGGATGGTTGTGTGGTTTGTGCTGTTTTCCCCCCAGATGAGAAAGGCAGGCAAGCAGTTAAGAAGTTAGAGAAATTGGGATTTCTGGTGTTGGATTGGAATAGCAGGTGGATTGGGTTGAAGATAAATGAAAGCAGAATTAGGGAAGGGAAAAAAATTGCAGAGAGAACCTGTACTTACATAAAATGCGTAGTGTTAACTACAGATGAGTTGGCTATCAGGCAAGTGAAGTTAGGGGTTACGGCTTTTAAACTGATAGGTCAGTAAAGCTGCCCCATAAATCTAAGTTTGGGTTCTGTGTCCTAAGGTAAGTTGTTTAAGTGGCTTGTTAAGGAGATGTATTTTTGGTGCTGCTGCTTTCCTATGCTTTTTTTTGTGCTTTTTCTGCAGCTCTAGTTTAGTTTATTGTCCAAGCATGGTAATGGTATCATTCTAGGTCTTGATCATTGGAGGAGGAGTTGCTGGCCTAGCTTCTGCAGGAGCAGCTAAATCGATGGGTGCAGTGGTTCGTGGATTTGATACTAGGTGGGTATGTGAAAATGGTAATAGCAGTCTGAAATTAGTTCAAGATTAAGTAGTTTGTGGTTGTGAACACAACACAAGGGAAAGCACTTGTACTGCACTGAATCACAGCGCCTTTCCTACCACTCTTATTCTGTCATTATTTCTCCATTTGTTATACCTCAAAGTAACCAAACCTTCCATAGGATCCTCTTTAAATCATTCAGAACTATGTGAAGAAAAAAATCATTGCTATGAAAATGAGAAATTTAGGGCTTTTATCCAGAACTTCATGTCTCTGTTCTTCTTGGGGATATAGGAGAAATACTGAAGAAATAACTTTATGCCCTCATTTATAGCTGCATACTCTCATTCAGCTCTACTCTCCTGGTACTAGAGAGCCCAGATAGGAATGTTTTGGAGAGACACTTTTTTCAATCTGCTGAAGGAGACAAAGAGACCAAGTTATTTCGTTTATGAACCTCAAGATGAAAGAACAGAAACTGCAGCTGAAGCTGCTTTAGATTATGCTTTCCTTGAGCCTCTTCTTTATGTTAGTAAGGATTATTTTGTCCTATAGCCGTTTTTTAGAGCAGTACACTGGGAAAATTACAGAGCACAAACTTTTTTCCTCTTACAGCTACAGGAACTGCAAACTTCATTAAATCTTATTCTGTTAAATGGCCTTATATTGAATTTGTATGTACTTAATACTGTATTTGCATTAAAATTGCTCATATATGCTTAGTTTTAAGCAGAAGTGCCATCTAGTGCTAGTTAGCTATGTCTAATATGGGAGAATGAAAATTAATATATCTCCAGATTTATGATGTGCAATATGAAAAAAAAACCCTTTACTCTGGGTTGTTGGAAAATCTGCATGTTTTAAAACAAACTGGAAAGAGTCTTTTCTGCATACTGCGAATGTTCAACTAACACTGAAATTTTAGTCTCACTATTTACTGCGATTCCATATGATGAAAAATAAATTACAGATTTACAGGATAACTTAAAAAAACCACCCAAACAAAAAAAAACCCACCAAACCCCTAAGAAACTACCGCAAAACACCACCCCTACTGTTCAGATGGGCTCCCCCCAATTTTTCCCTGTGAAAAGAAGACTTACTGGCATTTCCCATTTCACAGATTAAAGACAGGGCCACAAGCTGTGTATTTGTTGCCTATCTTTGGCATCTAAGTTTGGCATCTGTGGATTTACGTAATCATGACAAGAGAAACGGGAGAGCTGAGATAGTCAGTGGCTAAGCTCCCAGGTTACAGGAAGCCATAGGCTGCCATCATTCCAAATCCAAGTATCTTCGTTCAGGACATAAAGTTAGTGATGCAGTTACTTTTTTCACTGAATACACAAACTTTATGATTTGGCTATGGCCTCCTTAATCCTAGAATAAGTTTGAGTTCTCTTGTCTGAAGACTGCTACTGAAAAAGCCAGAAAAGTCATGGTGGATGTTTAAAGTAGTGGTTGTTTCCTCCCTTGCAATTTTCTTTTTGTAGAGCTGCAGCTCTAGAACAATTCAAGTCTCTTGGTGCTGAGCCTTTGGAAGTAGACATAAAAGAATCTGGAGAGGGACAAGGTGGTTATGCTAAAGAAATGTCAAAAGAATTTATTGAAGCTGAAATGAAACTGTTCGCCAAGCAGTGCCAAGACGTTGATATTATCATCACTACAGCGCTTATTCCAGGTATGTTGTATGTGCAAGATGCTAATTTTAATTTACGTGTTTTGGAGCCGTGCCTGCAGTGAAAGCAGGGGTGTTAATGAATTACGCCTCTGTAGGCATGGAACTTTTCCCTTCCCTGATAAATGCCTGTTTTCAAAGTGCATGCCTTTTTTCACAGCTTTGTTTTTTCAAACCTCCGGTCTTTAACTTGATATCACCATGTTTTCTTACTAAATGAGTCGATAGTAATGAATAAGCAAGAGAATTCTATATTCTTATTTTATTACTTCACTGCTGCTTCTGCACTGAAGCAAGTCCAGCTGGAACAGTACTGTCTTCTGTAATTGAAACACAGTAAGGTAGAACTTAGGTTTTTGTGCTTTGTATTGCACATCTATGTTTTAATAGTTTATGCTGTGTGGTGTAGTGTGTGTGTTTGTTTGTGTGTGTTTTTTTTTTTTTTTTTTTTTTTTTTTTTGTTTAGTTGTTTTTTGTTATAACTTGGGATTGTAAGTTTGGGTGTTGTCAGTTTACTTGAGTGCAAAATTGCACTTGGCAACATCTTTGGTAGACTGCTCATGCATAGCCTTTTTTATATGCTTGGGAGCAAGATGTTCTAGCATCTCTTCTCTCTGCCTGTATAAACAGACCTCCTGTGGCATTTCAGCCTAGGTATGGATTACTTGAACATTTTGCTTGCAAAAATAAGGTTGAAAGAGGAGGGGATAATTCATCTCCTGAGGTCTACAGATAAAAAGCTGTATTTTATGTTTACCTTACTATGTCTTGTCTCATCAGGCAAAAAAGCTCCCGTCTTGTTTAAGAAAGATATGATTGAATCAATGAAAGAGGGTTCAGTTGTTGTGGATTTAGCTGCAGAAGCAGGGGGAAATATTGAGACTACAAAGCCTGGAGAATTGTATGTTCATAAGGTGAGCATTTTAATGTGTAGATCATTCTCAGTTTGCATGAGTTCACGTGGTGTTTTGTATACTGTATGCTGAAAACAAGTAGATGATTTTGCTATTTGGGCTTAAGTAATCCTTTAGATTTGCATTTGGTCACGAGTCACGTCTATAATACTTTCGAAGATTTTTAAAGAAATGAATACCTTTGTATAGTGTTAATTTGTTTATTAAGTATGGAATTATTACTGCTTAGACTTCCAAGTCCAGTGATTTGCCTCTGAGTTGAGGGTATGGTTTGATGCCTATTTCTTGCTCTGCCTAGAGAGACAGCAGTAGCAATATCTTCTTTGACTTGCTTCTCACCTCCCACAACTAGAGGTTAACAGTCCCTGTCATAGGTAAGCTAAAGAGGTTCAGAATATGTCAGTGTTTACTTCAGTGCAAAGTCTCTGACTTAGTTCAATATAATTTCTGTTTCCAGAAGGTGCTGTCTTTGTACATCTTTAGCTTCGACAGCATGTGTCTGCCCCAGAGTATGCAAGCCACTTGTAGACCAAGCTAGGAGTAGCATGAATTCATTCATTAAAGTAAGCAGTTTTACTCTGCACTGAACTAACTGCTTGGGTTTTGCTCTAGTGTTCATTGGCTCAGTTGAGAGCTTGTTTTTTGGGCTCTACTTTTTGGGTTTTTATTTTTGGTAGTTGTGAGATACCTACTAGCAGTTACATTTAGGAGATGAGATTTAAAGTAACAAGTAACTTGTTACTGATGATGTAAGGACATAATACAGTTATTAGGGAAGCCTGTGGATGTATTGCTGCCACTCTTAATAATGTAAGTGGGGCTTTGTGTGTGTATATGATGAGTCATGGATTGTGTTTAGCTTTGTGGTTTTCTAGGGCTTCTGATGTTGTTCCTTCAAAGCTGGAATTAGAGTATGTAGAAGAGGAATAGGCAGATACTTGCATGAAGAATTTATGTGGGGCACTTATAGTCAGAGGAATATTACCCTGGATATAATGTACTGGCACTAAGCTGTGGATAAGAGTGGCTGGGCAGAACTATTGGGAGTGTGCCTGAGCACTGCATTAAGAAGCCAGTGTTCCTGGAAGCATCCTGGATTTTAGCTGTGGGTTGTGGGAGCAGTGTTTTAACATAGGCCTGCTTGAACACGAAAAGCGTATGTCGGCCTCAGCTTTTCATACCTTCCAAACCCTCAAAAGCCTGATAGCCGTGTGTGCTCACATTTTTTCTTTAAACAGTGTGGGTTTTTCTTTAAACAGTTGTGTTACATCTTTATGCAAATGTGAACCTGGGCATACTGCTTTCACAACTAGCCAGCTCTGAGGAAGTTCCCTTCACTCCTCTGCCATGTAGGAAGTTGCCATCCAGAAAGACTGAGAGGATGCCAGGCGTTGGATAGGATTATCTGCTAATTGGTTGCTTTAAGAAGCTAAGTTCTAAAAGACTGTTAGGATTTGGAGAGGACAAGCTCTTGCACCAATACATCTTCCTCTTTGTGTAGGCTTGTTGCTAATTGCATTTAAGGTGTTGGCCATGTTAAATTCTGTTAACTGCTGTGAGTAATCCTCCTCTGACTTAATCTTACAGCTGCAGGTAATGTTTTTTGCTGGGGCTAAAAAGAGAAATAAGTGAATCAGTTTGAATATATACTTCCAGAAGGATATGTTGGAATAGATGCTGCTTCTCCAAAGACTTCTTCAGTACTTCAGAGAGTACTAATCCTCAATTTACTTGAATTTTTTACAGGGTGTTACACACATTGGCTACACAGACCTGCCTAGCAGAATGGCTACCCAGGCCAGTACTCTGTATAGCAATAATATTATCAAACTCCTAAAGGCTATTAGTCCTGACAAAGAGAACTTCTACTTTGATCCAAAAGATGAATTTGATTATGGAACTTTGGATCATGTTATTAGAGGAACTGTAGTAATGAAGGTAAGTCAGTTAGTATTCTCTTCCTAATTTGTGAGCACATACTTTTACATTTGTCAATGCTGTCACTTTGAAATGCATTCAAAGCTACTGAATGCGGGTAGACTTCAAATGGGGCTCGATGAACAGTGTAGGCAACTGTCTTTATATTCAGCTGAATATTCCTCTGTGAAGGGGAACTTTGCTTTTTCTTCTTGTCATGGTTAAACAAATGCCTAATATCTGCTATTGGAAAAACAAGAAAAATACTAAATTTGCATGTTGTATTCATGTTTGAAACATTACTACAGGAACAGAAAAATATTCTTCCTTTCTATAATAAATGTGTTTCTGTTCTTGCAAAACTAACTTCAGAAAAAAATGGTGAGCTAGAATATGCAGTATACTTTAAGCTCTATTAGGAAATAACAAAATACGGACTTAGGGTATGGAACAGTATGACCTCTCCTGCAACTATTGGGAAATAATAATTTGCAGTTTAGGTAAGAGGTATTGATTTCTGTGGAGTTTTGTTGCATAATGCTGCCAACATTTTCTGATGCATATGATACCTACTATGAAGGAGGCTTGCATTGACTTCAGCTTCCCCAGACCGTTGAAGTAGTGTGTACAGCTCAGGTCTGACAGCTCCACCCAGTTATTCCTCCTGAGGCCTGGAGAACAGGATGGAATGTGAGATATCATGCTTAGTACCTAGCTGAGGTCTGGGCAGGCTCTGACTACAGTTCAGCTCTGCAGCAGATTTTGCTGTTTACATGTGTAAATTGTTTGCCATTTAAGGAACTTTACCACTTTGTTTTGGATTCTGCTTTCAAGCCTTGTGCTCTGTTTCCACCAGATGGACTTGGACACTAATATTAAATCTTAACAGAAGAATATGTAAACTGTTACAGTTACTTTGGTCAGGCTGTATTGATCCAGCCTTGCAGCCTTCTGCTGATGAAGAAATGGAAGATGTTCCTGTGGTATGCCTGCAGAAGGTTAAGATTGGCCTGGAGTTGCAGGATTAAGAAGAGCAGGCTCCTCTAACTATAAAGTATCTGCCATGTTAAGGATAACTGTAAATATCTCTTCTCAGGATGGCAAGGTGATTTTCCCAGCACCTCCACCAAATAACATTCCTCAAGGAGCACCTGTGAAGCCGAAGACGGTCGCAGAGCTGGAAGCGGAAAAAGCAGCTACCATTACACCTTTCAGGAGAACTATGACCAGTGCATCTGTATACACAGCAGGTAGGCAGCTGCTGGAGCTGGAGAGTCAGTGTATCAGAGTCCTCATTTGGTGAATACTTTTGATTCCTCATCTTACTCGATTTAATAACTATTTGGGAAAGCAGCTGATTGGCGTATCTTAATGTAAAATCAGTGTAGTGCAATAATTGTTTTGAGAAGGAAGATAAAATTTTAGAAATTGAATCAAAATTATTAACATTTCAGAAAATGCCGATTCACGCTGTGCTCAGGTGTGTGTGTTTGGCATTATTTAAATAGCAATAAAATACTTCAAATGCTTAATGACTCCTGCTAGGGACTGTGCCCATATTTTGCAGGAGAATCAATTCAATACTATTACTTACTTAAAAATTTAATGTGTGATACTTAAATGCGTGCAATCTACTGAAGTACTGAGAATAGGACATTTGTATTGACAAATAAATATTGATGGTTCTTCTCATTTGGTATTCTGTGTGCATCAAAACTGCATGAGATAATAGATTGAGTATTCTTAATTTTAAGCTCTGTTCTTCACGTTTTGAGTCTTCCAAGTAGTATCTCAACATGATTGTGACTCTTCCACATTTTTGCTGTAGAACAGGACACTGACAGGCTTCATGTAGAAATCTGTTTTTGCTTTGTGTGCATGCATAATGAAAGATGTATGTATTACATTTATGGTTTTATTTTCTATTGTAAAAGAAACATCAGCACAGAAGGAGCGTTGTAGTTGACAGATGACCCAGCTGATCTTGAAATAAGTCTGTGCACAAAACTCTGTTTTGCTTTGAGCTCAGTACTGGACTACTGTTGTACAGAATTTAACTTACAAAACCATCAAAAAGTTAAAGATGAGTTTTGTTGTGCTTTTCTTCTAGGTTTAGCTAGCATGTTAGGACTGGGCATTGTAGCTCCTAGTGCTGCTTTCACACAAATGGTGACAACATTTGGACTGGCTGGAATAGTGGGGTACCATACAGTATGGGGTGTGACTCCTGCTCTTCACTCTCCACTCATGTCAGTGACTAATGCGATTTCAGGTACGTAGCTGTCAAAAAAAACCACATTTATTTTCTATTTGGAGTAGGCACAGCTGTTACTTGAACTTTAGAGTAAGCTTGAGTCTTCAGAGTAAGCTTAAGTCGGCTAATACACCTTTTAAAATGCCAAAGAGCTTGGTACTACTTTGCATGTCTGAGTTCACTTTCATAAATAGCAAGGACACCTGAAACTCTGAGTGTGTTTTTTCAAAAGAAGGGCAGATGTGGCACTCTGTATTTTTTTATTTTTATGTCATTTTCCATTCTTAACCTGTTTGCTTTAAAGTTTGTTTTAATTGGAATGCTGCAGTCTGTCCTTCCATAGATAACTGCTTTCCTCCTATCTCTCCAAAATGTTGCTCTGAAAAGAACTTACCTTTCATAATTTCTGCGTTGTTTTTTTTCCTCCCCTCACACTGTGTTTTGAGAGAGGGGAAAAATAAAAAATGAATCTTACAGGTCACTTAAGAATAGATATATGAAATCTTAGATTTATAGAGTTGTGTGTGTGTATATGTGACAGGTTACAAGTCTGATATACTTTGACTGTTCAAAGCAAACCTTTTATTGAATGTACTTGGAAGTTGACTGTGCTTGAGACACTATTTCAGAAATACGTTCATGTACAGATCTGTTTTGTTCTGAAACATTTGTATTGCTGAAAAAGGTCATGGTAGTCTTCGTTTAAATAGTAAGGTGTAGAGTAGCGGTCAAAATTGAATTGGCTGGTGCATGTTTGACAACTGAAAGGAAACTTGCTGTAGGTATAGAGCCCTTTAACATTCAGTAACACTTTTTTTATCTCCTTTAAATAGGATTGACTGCAGTTGGTGGGCTGGTATTGATGGGAGGAAACTATCTCCCTGAAAATGTTTCTCAAAGTCTGGCAGTGCTTTCAGCCTTCATCTCTTCAGTCAATATTGCAGGTATGCATGTTAGGTTTTCTCCCAAAGGTAACTTTAAAGCTCTTGTGTAATT